AGAGACAACAGGACATAGTGAACACGTTCAACTCCCAACCCCCAAGATAACTTATAACTGAAAACACTTCTAAGATAACTTAAGAACCAGATCATATTGATAAGAAAGAAGATAAATAGTAGACGATATACTTTTAAGAACAGTAGAAGAACTATTACGATAAATAGTTTTGAATTTGATAACAAAGAGAGTAAACATTGAAACCTTAAAGGCAATATACCTCTCCCTGAAACTTTTAAAATCTTTAAAATCTATTTATAAATGAAACATAAAACTTTTCATTACATAGGATTCTATAACATTCAGAAATGGAGATCCCTTAAACATCTCTGAAACACAAATAGGAAAATAGATTGTGCTGAACACAATATTAGAATCTGCAAAAATATAATCAGATATAATAATATGCGTAATAAAGCTTTATTAACTATAGAAAGAGAAATTGAATTTTATAAAGATAATCTTGAGAGTTATCAACATAGAAAAAGAATAAATCAAAAAAATATAAAAACAATGAATATCTGTATCAACAGGTATTAAAATGAATAATTCTGAGAATAATAAAATTCTTAATAGTGCTAATATTTCGGCAGTAACTAATATTGCCAAAATAGAAAACGATTTACAAAATTGGAGTATTCCTAGAGAATCTTTTAATATGGTATATCATACTGGCAAGTTTGATTTTATTAAAAGCTATAACATCAAGACTTATGAATCAACAATTGCTATTAATAACTATATTGAAACAATTAAGTTATTAGCAGCACATGATATACAACAGTATAAGAAAAATACAATTTTTATCCTATAGGACTTGTTCAAATAGCTGTCAAGCCTTTATACAGACTAGGTTTAGACACTCCCCTCTGTCTATTACTAAGAGATGATAGACTATTAAATTTTGACGATTCATTATTAGGAGTCTTACAAAGTAACTTAGCCCAAGGTCCAGTTTACTTTAATTGTTATCCAAATTATTCGGTTGACATAAATGACCAGAATATTTTAGATACTTTAACTCTTAATATTAAAAAAAAATAGTAAAATTAATACAAGAGAGATAGCTGTAATATACAGAGTATATTACAGACTCGTGAAAACTACTTTAGCCCCAAAAGCTAAAATTGAAAATACTAAAGGAGTTACTATGCTCATGGAAGCAAACCAAGAACATAGCAACACCTTCGTCCCTAGAATGATTCGATGGGATGAAATATTATCAAAAGATGAATGGCGTTTTGAAGCCATTACTCAACCAAAATATGAACGAGAAAGTTCATATATCGAACAAGTTATTCAACATCCTACAGGAGCAGTAGACTTAAAATTTTTAAGATCTAACTCTTTTAGCGAAGCCTCTTCCAGTAGAAGAATGTCCTTCAGCAGACCTTCTTCTTTCAAACCCCCTGAGGAAAATAGTAAAAGTTGTAAAAGCGATAAAAGCGACGAAGATTTAATCGAAGAACTTGATAGAAAAATAAAAGGAGTAGATTTTAACAAAACCGTTCCTAAAGTAATCTATCAAAAGGGTCCCTTCATTCATAAAAGTCCATCCGCTGAAACAATTGATAGACTTGGAACCCTTAAAGAAGAAAATAATTTCAAAATAGACTGGAAAAGTCTAAATGCTCAGTGGGAACACCCTGATAATAACATTAAAAGAGAATGGTACGTATATACCTATTCTTTTGACCAAAGAAGAACTTTTAGAAATAAATGGATTAAGGACTTAAAAAGACTTAGATGTGATATTGAATTCTTTAGATGGTTCGAATTAACAGGACAAATTCCAAATCAAAAGGAATCTTTACAAATGATTATCAATAAATGGTATAACAAATATAAAGGTATAATAGAGGCCATCATTCCACCATTAGATGAAATCATAATACCCGTTCAAAATGAGGTAGTCACAGCTTCCCCTTTTAAAAGAGAAAGTACCTACCTTGACAAAGAACCAACAAACAAAGATCTAAACAAAATAATT